ATTTGGGTATTTTCTACTTTTTTATCTTTTTAACTAAAGAGTGTGAAACAACCTTGAGCATCTTTACACGTATGGATTCAAAACATAATTTTTTGTAAAAAAAAAATTCCTTTTTAAAATGATTGAAGAGTGAATCTAATATACCACCAACAAATACGGTGCATCGGGTGAAACTACTCTTTTAAATTAAAAGTCTCGAGTTCAATCAATAAATATATTTTTTTATAAAAAGCACTTTTCTCTGAATTGAGTCATACGCGATACAAATCCAAATTAATTGAGCTTTAATATGAGTATCGGACACCTTGTTAAGTAGTGTGTCAAGAGTAAAAGAGGAGAAGCTTAACATGCTTATGGAACGATAGATAATAGGTGATTTGCACAAATAGTATCTTTTAATGTAATTATTTAATTTGTGACAAAAGAAGGTGCATAAATAACAATTTACTATTGTTCTCATTTTATTTTTCATTATCATTGTCCTTTTTATTATCATTCTTTAGGCTATAAAATATCACAATTCTTAAAATAATATTTTTACTATCAGCATTATACTACAATTAATTTATTATCATCTTCTTTTCTTTAGAGACTATGACCTATATCCTCCTCCGTGTTTTACTCGTTTTTAATAAATATATACACATTAGAATCATGCCAAAAATCCATAATTTATCATAAGTTAACTTTTGCTATATTAAAAAAAAAAAAAAAAAAAAACTAAACAGATTATGTGAAAGAGAATGAGTACAAAAGTCAAAAATAAAAATAATAGATGGGCCAGGACACTATATATTTCTTTTTAAAAAAATTACTCAATCAATGAAGAATAAATGTATTTTTAAATAAATATTTCATAGTTTTGATTCATGAATCGTTATATTTTTTCTCGTTGAAACTTTAAATTTTACTACTATTCTCTTCCTGTTATATTATTTGGTCTTTGTCAATCTGATACATTCCTTAAAAAAATTTAATAAGAAGTTTATTTTACTTAACTAACAATTTAATGATGCTTTAGAACTCTAAATTTAACTAATACTACTTTATGTCGTTATTTAATAGAGTACTAAGGACAGTATGTAAAAAAAGTCTCTTGATCAGTAGTCAAAATTAATGCACAAGAAAATGAAACTGAGGGAGTATCTCTAATTTATTTTAAGAACTATATTCCCTCAAATATGAAGTAACAATAACAATTTAACATAAATTATAGGTAATTAAAAAGTAAAATGGTAAATACTTGAGAAAATTTATGATTATTCACAAAGAAAGGATCAAAAGTGCACATTACAAGTAATTGAAAACTAAAAGTACTTAGTCAGATAAAAAAAATTGCAATTAATCCTATAATTTATAATTAACTCAACACCAGAAAAAATAAAAATGAAAAAGCTTAGCAGTTCAGTTGATTAACTACTGAACTTTCACCTATTTAGTAAGATTTCATTTCCCCACCTTATAATCATCTATCTCATTTCCCTTTCCCTTCTCCTTAATTTAAAATAAAAATAAACCGAATACACTATACCAAAAATGATGTTTAGCAGTAATTAATTAACGGTAATAACTTAATTTTCACTAAATATGTATTTTTTAGTGAAATTAGCACTCTTTGTGTATATTCCTAAGGCCTACAACGACATTGGATCCAATGACAATTAATTAATGCTGATAAAGATTTTAGCACTCTTTGTTAATGTGTATATTTATTATCGCTAAAAGTTGTTTCTGTTATAGAGATATAGTTTATTTTCACGTCTTTTCTTGATTTCCCTTTCTCCAACTTTATAACCTAATCTTTATTGCCTAAATTAGTGTGTAAAAATGAAAAGGGATCAAGTAACAGCAAACTAGATTGAGATTCTCATATGAAAAAAAGCAAAGGAAGGGTTCTTTTTACAAAAAGCAAGACACTTCAATCTCATCCACTATCTTCCATATTGAATGAAAATTTGCCACACAAAAAGACATCACTAGCTTTTCCCCCTTAATAACTCTTTAAAGGAGATAGCAAAGCTACCTCATCGGTAGGCGAACTCAGAATTTGAAGTCAAGGGGTACATCACCAATGATTATTACATATTAGTTGAAAACCTTGCTGAATATGAAGTCGTCTAACAAATATTTTATCTTTCGATGTGAAATTTTTTAAAGTGAATTTAGAATTAATTAATCGAACTTCAATGCGAATATCGGACATCAGAGAATGAGAAAAGCATGTGTAGAGTCTACAAGAAAGAACAATAACCGCAACAAAATAGTGTGATAATTGAAATACAATACACAACATATGACCAGAACTACAAGAGTACAACTAGTACTATAACAAACACTAATAAGTCTAAGCCCTCACAAGGCAAGACAACACTCTATTCCTACTAACCTTCTATATATCCTAATAATATGTGATGTTTACTCTTTCCTATTTAGAATCATGTCCTCAGTAAATGAATGTTGTTGGTTCTAGTTTAATATCTTGAGCCCATTTTAATATATGATTCAAATTATACATATTTATATTGAAAAAGAAGTTATACTATCAAAATAATTTCAACTTTTTATAGGAATTATAGTACATTGCTTGCTTGCTCTATATTTTATGGTTATCATATAATATTTGCTACAAGCAATTGAAAGATAAGTTAACATAATATTTGATAAAATTTGACTTTATTTTTCATTGTAACTAGGCAATTTGTAATTTGATTTCATTTATCTAACTTTTTTGCTTTTACTTAAAAAGAGAAAATAAAGTAAGAAAACGAAAAGCCAAAACTTCTAGCAGACAATGACATTTTTTTTATTTTCCATTTGGTGTTCGGGTCGGATCTGCATTGGAGTCCCGATTAAATTCGAATCGCGCACATGGACTCATTCAAATGTGGCGCTCCCAACAAAATTTTCTCCATACACAAGTTTTGAATTCGGAAAGCCGAAATTTTTGAATAAGAGTGAAACAATCTCACCACTGCACACAACAATGACATTTTATAAATTAAAGAAAGATCTAACAAAAAGCAGAAATCATTTGATGAGCAACATAATCTTCTTTTGACCTTTTCTTTTTCTTTTTCTTCTTTTTCCTATAATATTTTTTGCTAAAAGAAAAAATAATTGTTGAAGGAAGGGAGGTGGCCTACTGTAATTGGTTGGAAGATTATGTGGACCCCATTAGCATAATCTATTTGTCGTCCTACCTAAATATATTTTGTTCTTCAAGTTTAAACGGTCAATAAGTTTTGGAACAATTATACAGATTTTTTCGAGATTTTATCGAGTGGTTCAATACGCCATATGAGATAGATAAGAATAATTTATAAAAATTGTTATTTTATCTTTTATATGTGATAGTTATTTTCATTAATATAATATTGCAATGAAATATAAAATAATTTTTAAAATTAATTAATATTCATAATCAACATTTTATTTTGAGATTATTATTTTTATCTCAACAATTATGTAATCCCTAAGCGTTGCGCATAAATACTAGAGATTTTTACATTTTATTTCACTTGGTCGAAGCTTATAATAATTGAAATTAGTCCATTTTTTTTATCTTCTCCTATTTAGCTCAATTTAATTATAATTTAGTATATGTTTTGTAAATGTGTAATATTTTGTGTTAGATTGTATTTATTTTTTTAAATTCTAACCATACCAAATTATTAATTAATTATAATTTTTTTTATCAGGTTAGCAAATACACTGATTAATATAAAAAAAAGATATTTTAAATTACAATTTCTGCTAAGTAATCTGATTATATAGATATTTTTATATTACCATCGTATAAAAGTTGAATTCTTTTGGTAACATGTGCTCTCCAGCTACACAAATATGCACTTCAATTTCCTTTGATATTGCCTTCTTAAGTGAATATTCGGACAAAATTAAAGAAAAATGACACTTCATCTTCAAAATAAATAAATAGAGGAAAACAATATTCTAAATTCCTTTATTTCAGGTAAATGTAAAATAAATATGTCATTGATGATTTACCAATAAGAAACACGTGACATACATAATATATAACCCAAACCTAACATTTATTTCCTTGTAATATTATTTTATAACAAAGAAATAATTGAAAAATATCAAGGGTGTGGCTAATGATCAATGAAAGAATGATAATCATGAAATTTAATGTTTAATTTCAATGAAGATAAAAATAATATTAGATAATAATATTGTTGAGAGTGAATATGAATTTTTTTGGAATTAATCAATGTGCGAAATACAATAAATCATTAAAAATAATAGATAATTTTTCTTGATGGGTTGTAATATATATCCTGTGGAATTATGTAGCAAGAGATGCAAAAGAAAATAAATTTGTTAGCATCTAGCACTCTTCAATTCTAATTTATGTGACCATTTTTCTTTTTTAATCTGTCACTAAAAAAGAATGAATATCTTTTTATATTTCAAAGTAACTTAATTTTTTATCCTAAACGAGATATTTATATCAACGCAACTATCTACAACCTTTTTAGATTATAATTTTGTATTTTTTTAACTTCGTATCCCATCAAAGTATATGCATCACACTAATTGAGACACAGAAATTCCTAAGCTTTATCTCGCTCTCTCTCTCACACACATATATGTAAAAAGCATAATACATAAATGTGTCTTTTAACTCAATTTTATTAGCTAATATTTGTGTCCTTCAACTTAATTAGTTGTTCAAAAGTAAACAGTTAAACTTGTGCACGTCCAAAGTTGAAGGATATATATATATATCAATTTAAGATCAAGTTAAATGACATTTTTATATATTATGCTTTAAACAAAAGTGAAAAACTTGAAAGTGACATCCATTATAAATTTATAATATGGCAAATTTTAATACATCACACCTGGACTTCCAACATTTGACAACTCTCTCTTTGTGGGTCTCTCCCTATATCATGTCTCTAACACACATTGCTTCTTCTCGTGCTTATTTTTTTATCACTTTAAAGCTCTCATCTTCTCTTTTCTTCATTTGCATGTGATTTTATCTCTTTTCTCATCAACAAATTAAACCTTGAACAATTTGACAAATTTTTGAAGTTTTAAGAGTTTTAAAAATGTTGCCTCATGATCAAGAGAATAGTAGTAACATCCATGGTGGTTCGAGTAATGTTCTTGTACGTGCTCGAATTGATAGCATCTCACTTCAGATCGAACCAAATGGTCCAACGTGTAACATTAGTCCTCGTGTGAACGATGATACAGTCTCAGATCATCAACAATCACATCATGCTAAATTATCAATTCTTCGTGAATCTTTACACCCCGTTACACTTAAGGTATACTTAACTTCTCTACACTGACAATTGTATACACTTGATGTATACTATTGTATATCGTTGTATATTTTAGCGGTATATTGACCTAAATTTTTTAAATTTTATTTTTGTAGTTTGAAGATGTTTCATACACTATCAAATTGGAAAGCAACAAAAGGGGTTATTTTTCTTCACATCAACAAAAGCAAACTAGAATGATACTTCAAAATGTCATGGGAATAGTTAAGCCTGGTGAACTTTTGGCCATGTTAGGTCCATCAGGAAGTGGTAAAACAACTCTCCTAACATCGATAGCAGGTCGATTACACGGTAAATTCTCCGGTACCATAACGTACAATGATCAACAATTTTCGAGCTCAATGAAACGAAAAATTGGTTTCGTGACACAAGATGATGTGCTATATCCTCATTTAACCGTCCTCGAAACGTTGACATACGCTGCTTTGTTAAGATTACCTAGTAAATTAACAAATCAAGAGAAAATTGAGCAAGCAGAGTTGGTTATAATGGAATTAGGGTTAACAAGATGTAGAAATAGTATGATTGGTGGACAATTATTTAGGGGAATTTCAGGTGGAGAGAGAAAAAGAGTGAGTATTGGACAAGAAATGTTAGTGAATCCAAGTTTATTGTTACTTGATGAACCAACTTCAGGTCTTGATTCGACTACAGCTCAACGTATCGTGTCAACGTTACGTTGGTTGGCTAGAGGGGGTCGGACTGTGGTCACAACGATACATCAACCTTCTAGTACGTTGTTTAGAATGTTCGATAAAATTATCGTCTTGACCGAAGGTTGTCCGATTTATTATGGGAAAAGTAGCCTTGTTATGGAATATTTTGCATCGATTGGTTACGCTCCTGGATTCAATTTCATGAACCCTGCTGATTTTCTACTTGATCTTGCTAATGGTATGACATATTTTAATTTCTCTCCGTAGACGTAGAGCGTAATTTTTCATTCATATTTTTTTATTTTAGAAATAATTTAAATTTGTCATTTACCCTTTTATGAGATAATATTATGGTCATACAAATGTCTATGACCTATTTTAGACCTCACAATTAATAAATCGTTGATCTTTTTAAATTTTAATGACCATGATCAAAATAATTTATAAATTAGGACAGAGAAAGTACGACTTATCATGAAGGTCATAGAACTTCCTTCATATAATGTCTATATTAAACAAGATTGCTTATGCTATCTATAAATGCTATTTATTTTATGTGAGAGTTTCCTAATTGAGTGTAAATCAAGTTTCAAACAATAGATGTCTATATGTTACCATAAAAAATGGAAACCAAGCCAAAATGAGACAATTTAAATGAATATTTTTCTCCATATATTGGGTAATTGGTGTAAAAGTAGTTGAGATTTGACTTGATGGACCATATAATTCCCTATTTAATACATGTTTTGTTGGGTCGATTTTATAATCTCTACAAATTTATTTTTACTTTTATAAAAAAAAACATTTTTTATGTATAAGAGATTTGAAAATAAACGACGACTACCATTTCCTAGAGGATTATCTTTCTTCCTATCCTTTATTTAATGAAAATCATGTTTTTTTGTAACAATAATTTAGCTAATCTACTTTCCAGTCACAAGTGAAACAATTAGTACTTAATCAATGATTGTTTTAGCTTATTAAACTTTAATTTGTCCCCTCCTTTAGCCCTTTAATTAATAAAGTTGTCGTATCATTTTCTTTTTTTACCTTTTCATTTGGTCCCATTGTCCTTTAAATATTATTAACTAAAACAAATATTCTACATAAAAATACAAATATTAAAGATTCTCACACGACTTTATGTTGCCATGGTACAATAATTGTTTATCATATGTTACATAAATAAAAATCAATTAATTAATTGTCCTTATATGAATTTGTCAAATAAAGTATTTAATTTATTTTGCAGGTATTACACATGATACAAGGCATGATGATCAACATGAACTTATTATGAAACAAGATCAATCTGAAAATCAAAATGCAACCAAACAGTCCTTAATTTCCTCTTATAGAAAAAATATTTATCCTTTATTGAAAGAGGAAATTAATCAAAGTTGCAATCGTTCGATTCGTTCATCATCAACAAGTAGGCAAAAATCTCTCATTTAACTTGTTATATATACAATGAAATTATATCTCTAGATTATCGTAAAAGGTCTAAATATATATACCACTTTTATTTGTCAGGTCGCGACGATCAATGGACCACAAGTTGGTGGTTGCAATTTAAGGTTTTGCTTGGTAGAGGACTTAAAGAAAGAAAACATGAAGCCTATTCTGGTCTAAGAATTTTCCAAGTGATGTCTGTTTCATTTCTGTCTGGACTTCTATGGTGGCACTGTAATACTAATCATATAATGGATCAGGTAATGTTCAAAATTTCTTATGTAGCCATTCTAATGTTTTTTTATTACGTTATGAATTGTGTGATCGTCTTATCCGAAAGGTTAACCAATTAGAAATAATATATTTTATTTACTTAATTATGTCTTCAACACGTCCAGCTCTCACATACACACGTGATGTGATTTCCTAGCATGGGCCACTCATTAACTAGTGACTGTGAGACTTGAATTCCACGTCAAATGTCAAATGTCATGTTGAATTATGTCACCTAATTTTAAAACTTAGTTGCACATTTTTATGTACTTAATTATATCTTTAGCACACACTCTCATATGCATGTGTGGTTTTCTCTATCATAGGTCACTCACTAATGAGTGACTTGTGAGAATTGAATTTCACCTCAAATGTCATGTTGAATTATGTCAACTAATCTAAGAACTTAAATACTTTTATCTTACTTAATTATTGCTTTAACATGTCCCATCAAATTCAAAATGTGATTTCGTATCATATGCATTTCTTAATGAGTGACTGTTAGACTTGAATTCAGGACTTTTGCTTCCTCAAATGTCACGTTAAATTATGTCACATAATCTAAGAACTTAAACTGTATATTTTTATTTACTTAATTATATTTTCTACACGTATAATTTAAGTAAGTTTTTTCAATATACAAAAATTTCTAACAAGGTGATTGTATCCAACAGGTGGGATTGCTATTTTTCTTCTCAATATTCTGGGGATTTTTTCCTCTGTTCAGTGCCATATTTGCATTCCCACAAGAGCGTCCAATGCTCATAAGAGAGCGTTCGTCTGGCATGTATCGCCTTTCGTCTTACTACTTTGCACGAACCGTGGGTGATTTACCTATGGAACTTGTACTTCCAACAATCTTCGTAACAGTAACATACTGGATGGGTGGTCTAAAGCCAAAATTTGTCACATTTATACTGACCCTTTTGATCATACTTTTAAATGTGCTAGTGTCTCAAGGACTTGGACTAGCACTTGGTGCAATACTAATGGATGTGAAACAAGCCACAACATTGTCTTCTGTGTTGATGCTTGTGTTTTTGCTAGCAAGTGGATACTACATTCAACATATTCCTATTTTCATTAATTGGCTCAAGTACATCTCATTTAGCCACTATTGTTACAAACTTCTACTTGGAGTACAATATTCAAGAAATGAGGTTTATGAATGTGGGATTGGAAAATATTGTGAAGTATTGGAATTTCCACCTATTAAGTATCTTGGAATTGACAATTTGGTACTTGATGTGGTGGCATTGGTTGTTATGTTGGTGGTGTATAGGCTTTTGGCTTATGTTGCTTTGAGGTTGTGGCATCAATGACTAAAGTGAGTGTGTGTGTGAGAGAGACTTTTGAATTAGACAAGATTTGTATTAATTTCTTTAAGTTTATTAAATAAAATATTAAGAAGTATAATTATTAACCTTGACAAGAAAATTTGTTACAATGAAATGTGAATTGTACTATACAAACTATTATTGTCAAGAAATGTCTTGCTTTTTCTTTCATGTTTTTTACTCCTCCCTAGGAGCTTCGGTCCTTTTCTCTCTCGGAGATTCGAATCAACAGATTCAAGATTGAAAGTGAAAGGTGTTTACCATTCGATTTACTGAAGATTCGAACCAACAGATTTAAGATTGAAGGTGAAGGATAGGGGTGTACATGACCGGGTTGGTTCGGATTTTTCAAATATCAAATCAAACCATTTGTGTAAAAATATTTAATTTATAAACCAAACTAATAAAATTTGGATTTTTTTGGGTTTTTCAACCTTGGGTTGGTTCGGGTTTTTCAAATACCAAACCAAATCATTGTGTCAAATTTTTATTAAATTTATAAATCAAACCAAACTAATAAACCTCAAATTTTTTCAGTTTTTTGGATTTTTTCGGTAAAGTTTGCATACAAACATATAATTAACTTGAGCTTCAAATATTTCTTCAATCCAACCAAAATACAATTATCTAAGGTGTTTCTTAAGAAAATAACACAAAATATGAGATGAGTACTGATGACGCTAAAATATTCAATAAAAAATAATAATGAAATCATCATATAAAATAAATATTGCAAAGTCATAATGAAAATGATCATAATTTAAAAGTACTAAATCATGCTAAAATAAGTTTAACAAGTATTAGTTACATTACTGAATATTTAGGGAAAATTAAAATTAGATTATGTATTTTAATTGTCTAAACCAATGTAAAACTAAAGAACAAATATTTAATATTGTTGTCATTCTTAGTGTTGAATTGATTTTCTTTTTTCATTAGTATTAATTTGATTTTGATTTAAGTTTTATTATAATTATCAACTCTATTAACTATAATCTTTATTGAACCATTCCAAATTCTAAGTTTTAAACTTGAAATAATATATTAAAAGATAAAAACTATTAAATAGAAAATTATATCAAAGTAAATATTTTTATGTATAAAATAAAATTTTAAAAATTACATATATAATGTCGGATTGGTTTGGTCTCGGGTTGGTTTTTTTAGTTAAAACCAAACCAATCCAAATATAGTCGGGTTTTTTCTCCAATACCAAGCCATTAGTTGGGTTTCTTTTTTATTTGACTCAATTTGCGGTTTGGTTCGATTTTTTATTCGATTTTGTACCTCCACTTTGAATGGTGCTTACCATCTGAATAATTCTGATCAGAAAGGTTGTTTTTTTTCTTATCTATTATGCTTAGTGATTTAAAGGAATGTCAATGGTGTTATTAACTATACCCCCTAATTGATGTGATAGAAATTAGAAAAAGTGGCAAAGTATCTTATTCTTGAATGACATGAGTAGAACCTAACTTTGATATCTTCATAGAAAATTGAAAAAAAGCAGAAATATATAATATCTAATTTCTTAATTATAGTGCATCCCTTTCACATCGATCAAGGATTGCCACAATTTTTTTTTTAATTTTCCAGCATAGGCAAATTAGCTTTTTCATGGAACATTGTAGATGTGTTTCCAACTATATAAGGTGTGTTCGGTATGGCAGAAAATATTTTTTTATAAATGATTGGTCAAATATTTTAAAAAATAAATTTATCTAAAAAGGCAAGTTCTTTAAAAATAAAGGAAATGATCGACTTTCCTAGTGAAAATTACACTAAAAAAAGAGTTTCATAAATGATAGGAGTATTCTACATTAATTGTGTTTTTCCCAACACATCTCATCTTTCAATGCTTCTAGGATAATATTTTTTACGTACGTATCAAACACAAACAAATAAGTAAAACCTTACTTATTTTTGAACAATCACCCTTCCAAGTTAATTTTTTTAATCGGTTTATTTGAGTTCGTAAATAACGATAATTAGTGAGTTTCATTAATGGAAGAAAAACATTTAATTACATAGTTTAAGTTGATCCTTAATTTATGTTCTTCAAATGAGTTGATCCTTAAATTTTTTCTTAGCAGTCAAATTAATTAATGTCTTGCAGCCAACATGTATAACTTATTTAAAGGCGTGTGACAAACTTATACGATATTATAAAGCAAACATATAAATTTATGGCCCACAAAAAAGTTATTTACCTTAAAGAAATAAAAATTAAAGATCTAACACAAAATAAACGTAAAAGTATGAATGACCCAAAGATAAGTGGAGATCCCAAAGACGCAAAAATCACTCTTTTTCACTTTATATGAATGGCGCCCATTGCAACACTTGTAAATGAGATTTATAAATGAATGGGATAGTATGAGTTTTAAATAATTACTCTCTCTGTTCCTAATTATTTATCCACTTTTAAATTGACACACTTATTAAGAAAACAATAATTGGCATAGTGAGTTTACCATTTTACCGCTATTAATTATGAAGTGGATGATTTAAAAACTTAAGATTTTCAAGAAGTTCTACCTTTTTCAAAGTAATTAATTGAGGGTATAATAGGTAAACATATTTTGTCCTTTCTTGATTTGTCAAAATAGACAAGTAATTAGGGACAACTAAAAAAGAAAAAAATGGACAAGTAATAAGGGACAAAGGGAGTAATATCTAATGTCTTAAAAGACGAACCATTGAATATTTAGAAATGAAATGAAACCAAATTAACGAGATGATATTGAAGATTCATATAGTCGATTTCAATTATCCTGTATCACATCCTCCAGTATTATTTAATGGACATTTCAATAAACCCATTGCTTTGTGTTCTCCCCAAAATCCAAATATTGGGCCACTTCTTCATACCAAGCTAAGGCGTTTGACTCAAATAAGGCCCAAAAATTAGGAGGGGTTAAGTTTGTTGCCTTAGATGGATTGGTCTAGCTTAACAATTTTTTTGAATAATAGCCTTCACTTCAGAAAATTCTTACTTTTACTCATGAAGTAGACGTTCAGGACATTTTAAAATAAGGAATAATGTACTCGATCAATTAATCAGAAGTTTTTGACCTTATATGTAAAAATTAAAATTTACTTGTGTTACGATTGCCTATCAGGCATAAGTTCTAAGTTTTTTGAATAAGACAAACGTTTAATATATTTTAAAATAATGAATTATGTTCAATTGACCACAAATTTTTCCTTATAGGTAAATATTAGAACTTATGTCTGACGGGCAACATAAATTCTTCCCAACCAATTTTAAGAGATAAAAATTCAAGAGCGAACACTTCGAAAAACACTAGAGGCAATGTCCTCCAAGATGCTTTGCCAACTTGCATGGCACAGGTTTCATATTAGTAATATTATAATAGACATAATATATAAATATAGTAAAAAATGTGTCCTTTAATATGATTTTAGTTGGTATTTATGTCCTTCAGTTTAGGTGTGTATGAGTAAATATTTAAGCTAATTATATAAAGTTGAACAAGTAGACACATATGTCCTACGTGTATTATGTTACGTAGGACGCATGTGTATATTTGTTCAACTTTATACAAATTTAAGAGTATGTCTACTTATGCACACCTAAATTTGAAGACCATAGATGTTAATTGCAACCAAATTAAATGACACATTTATTTATGTATATACGCCATTATAATATTTGCCAACTGATATATTAATATTCCAAATACCCCTACTACTTGGAACTGTACAAAGGAATTTACACAAGTCTATATTATACCAAGAATTTCGTATAATATACAAAAGAACAACATGAATCCTGTAGCATTTGTCCTTAAATAATGCAAAATAAAGAAAATTATATGCCTTTCAAATCTTTTTATCTTACACTCAGTGATAGGTAAATATATTAGTTTCCGATTAAATTTAAATTCGTAACGGAAAGCTCAAGTGTTTCATAAAAATGATGAGAAATTGAACTGATCGATACCTTGCTCTAATCAAGGATGACGTTGTATTTATCTCTTTAGTGGAGAGCTGAAATTTTCATTAAGGGGTACAATGATATGAATAAGTAAATACACGAAGAAATCAAGGAAATTCAACATCTACTATATACATAATAGATATAAAATAAAAATATATATATACAATGTGATTATATTTTCTGTTAAAGAAGATTCAGATGAACCCCTTATCCTTATCTAAGTACTCCGAACGTGTAATTCTCCACCACAATCCTTATTGGTGAAAATTATATGCTTTGTATATATCTAAGCATCTGATGCTGAAATTATCAAATTGGGCTTGTGACATGATATTCATGTTATTATTAATATTCCCACTTATGTGAAACAAGACTATAAATATTAGAGTTCATTAAGGCAACTAGAAACTCAGCCAAATTAAAATATTTCTTGTTCTTCACAATTAAAATGGCATCAATAAAAATTGAGAAACCAGTTGGTACTCAACCATCTGCCTCTACAATCAAGAAAACATCAACTAAGGCTCCTACTGCTTCCAAATCCGCCCCGAAAAAGACTCGCGAGCCTAAGAAAAAGGTCAATCAACATTTCTAATTTTAAGTTTTTTTATACATACCTTGATTGTGTAAATAATATTTAGACAATTGGTATATTTTAACGTGTTGTACGTAACAAGTAATCTGTCTTATTTGACGTGTTACTAGCTCCTTTTGTCTAAAGCCTATCAAAAAAGAATATTGTCACATTTCTATGTTTTTTAAATGATTTAAATTTTACCATTTTAACCTTAATGATAATATGACTCATAAGCTATATAAATGTTAAGTCTTGTTTTGAACTACGAATCTTGAAAGTCTTCCTTTCTTTCTTCAGTTTTGCGTTTAATTTACCTATATTGGGATGGACAAAGTACTCCTTGCGTTCATTTTTACTTGTCCACTATTTCAAAAATAAATTTTCTCTTTTACTTGTCATTTTAACATATCAAGAAAAGATAATTATTTTTTCCGTTTACCTTCAATATTAATTATTTATTCACAAATTATTTCTCAAAATAAGACT